TTCTGTTTAGATATATTTAGATGGTTTTGGGACTTCCGAAACGGGAAATCCATACTGCATTACATTGTGGATTTTGTATCTTACTTTCATCCAGAGGTTATTTACTGTCACGTTTCTGTTTAGATATATTTAGATGGTTTTGGGACTTCCGAAACGGGAGATCCATAATGCATTACATTGTGGATTTTGTATCTTACTTTCATCCAGAGGTTATTTACTGTCACGTTTCTGTTTAGATATGTTTAGATGGTTTTGGGACTTCCGAAACGGGATATCCATACTGTATTGCATTGTAGATTTCGTTTATCTTACTTTCATCCAGACATTTTTTACTGTCACATTTCTGTTTAGATATATTTAGATGGTTTTGGGACTTCCGAAACGGGAAATCCATACTGCATTACATTGTGGATTTTGTATCTTACTTTCATCCAGAGGTTATTTAATGTCACGTTTCTGTCTAGATATGTTTAGATGGTTTTGGGACTTCTGAAGTGGGAAATCCATACTGCATTGCATTGCATTGTGGATTTTGTTTATCTTACTGTCACTCCAGAGATTATTTACTGTGAAGTTTCTGTTTGGATGGTTTTGGGACTTCTGAAACATGAAATCCACTTTGCATTGCGATGTGGATTTTGTTTGTCTTACTTTCATTAGATTGTAACTGTCACATTTCTGTATAGATATGTTTTCTGTCAGTTGGTGTCTATTGGCAGGACCCACAAATGCTTTTTTCTGTCTTGCAGAGTCCACGAGTTTTGAACACAACTTCACCATCATTGATAATGGTGGTCGTATTTCTGCCATGAGACATGGCAGGAAAGTTCCTAAGCTCAACAGGCCTCCTGACCAGAGGAAAGCACTTCTTCGAGGCCTCACAACTCAGCTCCTTAAACATGGACGCATCAAAACTACTCGAGCAAGGGCAAGTGCTATGAGGAAGTACGTGGACAAGATGATCACACTGGCCAAGGATGGATCTCTCCATAAGAGGAGACAAGCACTGGGATACATCTACGAGAAACAGATTGTCCATGCTTTGTTTGCAGAGGTACCTGACAGATATGGGGAGCGGAATGGTGGCTATACAAGAATCATCAGAACTCTGCCAAGGCGAGGGGACAATGCACCCATGGCATACATTGAACTTGTGTAGGTCTGTAATTCATTTCAATTTTGAACTTGTGTAGGTCCGAGCTTTTTTTACATCTTCCTGGAATTTTATGAAATATCTAACGGCATTAGTTCTTATGGAAGCATGCATTTCCAGCCTATGTTTAAGCTCATTCTCGCGTTTTGGCCTATAAATCTTTACATCTGTAGACTGCGGTTCATCAATAGGTCAGTTAATTCATATTTATAGGTCGTTGGCGCAATCTGATATGTTTTTCGTGTGTTTATTTTTCCTCATGCTGATTTCCTTTGATCTTACCTCTGCTGTGTTAGTGCTCTTACGTAAACCGTACCCCGTTATATGGACGTTGGGGTTGATTTTGTATGTGTATTAGCATTGCAATGTTTGTAAATTATCCCATCAATGTCCTATAAAGTTGTCAATTATCCATCTCGAGATCGTTTTTCCCTTCATGTATCACTCGGCACTTTGCAGTGTAGAGTACGCCGAAAGTTATAACTTTGGGTGCGTAAAACTCAAAGGGAACGTGAACATAACATGTAATAAAAAAGTGAGTTGTTATTGACATTCTTAAGTTTATAAAAAGCTAAAACGAAAATTTATTTAAGGAGTTCCGATGACATTTTCGGAGCCTTAGCCTCGTGCTACCTTCTCAAGAAAAAGGAAATTCTTCCTACTTCTGCTTCAAGAGTGTTTCCACAATCCGTTTGAAAGTTTTACCTTTCCAGTAATGTTCTTCAGGTTGGATAACATTTTTCTTGAAGGTCCATTTAACCTCGCCAGATTCCGAATAAATAGCGGACACGATGTGTTCTTGGTCAATCACATTGCCATAGTGTTCGAGGGCAATCAAGCTCAGAGTACAACTGTGAACACTAGCGTTACTGGCCACCACCGGGTCTCTCGGAAATAACATTGGATATGTCGCATGTTTTATGGAATGACATCTTACGTCGAAAAACAATGCACTGTCGTCAGAATCCAAGAAAAAAATGCCATGCTCCCACTGACCACAACCAGCAATCCACGAATAATCCCTGAGCGTATGACCATGAACCCGAAGATCTATGGCGTATTCAAGCGTCCACTCTTTTTTTTCATAATTTTTTAGCGCCCATATCTCAACATGCGTACCTGTGACGGCCATAAACGCCATACAGCCTCTCAGAATAAATAGATGCATATTCCACCTTGTTTGAATAGGATGGGGAGTGCAATAGAACTCCTCTTTCTTGAAGTCGAAAGAAGTTATACGGCTCTCTCTTTTAGTTAAGTAATTGTCGATCCGTTGAAGCAACCAATGCATGTCTCCGTTTACAGATAAATTTGTGGAGCTTAAATCGTAAGGAGGAACTGAGCGTATCTTCCGCCACGAGCTTGTGCCCAAGACAAGAACTTGGGCCACGATATTGTTCTGCATATCTGCAGAAACACGAATAATTTTATGGGTGCTGGTTAAATCATCAAATCCCATACTGTACACATCATAACCGAGTTCTACGGGAACTGGGACGTCACTCATCGGGAGTGGTAAAACTTGTCCCTTAAAAGGATCAAATAAGATGCAGAAGTTCCCAACTGTAAAGCAAAACAAGTTGCAGAAAACAAATTGTTGAACGATTGGAGCGTTGAAACTGTCGAATCCAATCTCTGAGACAATTGCATGTTTTCTCTCTTTCAAGGAGGAGTTGCCATCGTATTCGAATAATTGTACTGCCGCTAAAGAAGCCATGCCGATGTTATCAATAAGTATAAGTTGAGGTACTTCAGCAACAGCATTGGTAGCAGTAAGTAACCGCGTGTGAAGTGTAACGAAAGACTGGTCGTCAACTATGTTCTTCAACATCTTGGACAAACGTCGAATGTGATAAAGTGACTTTACAGGCAGTCTCGAAAGGATGTTGACGAGGATTTCAAAAGGTAGGTCAGTTAACAAGGTGTGCTTCCGGCGTCGTCTCAGTCTAAGCTTCTTCAACCAACCAATATTGGCTCTCATGATTTCCAACATCTCCAATCCTACTGAGTCAAATATCTTTGTGTTCTTCTTCGTTTACACACACACACACACACATATATATAGGGATATTTTGGATTAGCTTTCTCCTTTTGCATGCTCATTGGCAAGGGAATTCGGATATAGGAAAGGTAAGAAAATCGGGATGGAATAGGGAAAATATAATTTCTGTCGCAGTTGAAAGAAGAGGAACAAAATCTGTTTTCGAAAAGGACAGAACAAAAAATCAAAACAGAATCAAGAAACCTTCCTTATATTATTTTCTTTATTTTCTTCGTGTTGAGCCGTTTTGGTTGATCTTTTGTACCCGAGACACATAGGGATTTCAAACTCGATATGCATGGAAAGTTTCGAATCCGAGATGTATGGGAGTTTTGAACCCAAAACGTACGGAGAAGTTTCGATACAAAGAAAGAAAAACAGTTGGAGTAAATTGTAGTAATGGTCCCTGAACTTTAATCAAATTGGAGCAATGGTCCCTCAACTAAAAATCCATTACCATTGGTCCCTCAACTTATCAAAATGTGTAGCTATAGTCATTTTCATCAATTTCTTCAAAATTTTGTCAAAATATGTTATGTTGGAATAACCATTTATATAAGTAGGATCCCTCGACTCATCAAAGTGTGTAATTATGGTCATTTTCATCAACTACGTAAAAAACTTTGTCAAAACGAGTTATGTTGGAAGGACCATTGCTACAATTGGATTAAAGTTAAGGGACCACTTTTCCAGTTGAATTAAAGTTGAGGGACCAAATGTAATGGATTTTTAGTTGAGGGACCATAGCTGCACATTTTGATAAGTTGAAGGACCAATGGTAGTTGAGGGACCATTGCTCCAATTTGATTAAAGTTCAGGGACCATAGCTACAATTTACTCAAACAGTTGTATTACGAAGTGCGTATTCACCTTGAAAAATTCTTTTAACCTTGCAGGAAAAAGTGGCTATCTACTTATCCGCACGTGGTAGGGATAATAAAATTAGCCTTTCCTCACAGTAATGTTAAGAAGACCAAATTTCTAAATCAAATTTTGTAAATAAAATAATGTGAACTTTGATTATTGAATTATTACTTAAGTGTTGATTACCATGCTTATTTTCTATTATGACACATAACTTTATTTGTAAATTTTGTTTAAAAATTCGGTTTCCCTGGCATTAACCTTCCTCATAGGCAAACATGAACGCACTTGGATACGGATGGGGTATCCAATACGATATTGTGTGTCGATACAGTAAAATTTTAAAAATTAGGTAAGGATACGTCAAATAAAATACTATATGTTATTTAAAATATATTTTATATGTTCATATTTCATCATATACGTTAAATCACAAAAGAGTAAAACATTAATGTTTATTTTTAACATCAATAAAATACAATTGTGTCTAGTCTTTTTTATTCTTGAGATTGGTCCTCGCCTCTTTCAGAGCCGGAATGATTATCCTTGCCCTATGGGGCTACATCCATTTGTAAATGTCCCGATCAGTCTACCAACCCCAGAAGAACAACGGAATTTAAAAACGTCAACAACCCAAATTCTTCGATCAAATTTAAGGAGTATCTTGGTCTTATAAGTATCTGATTGTCAACAACACAAAAAAGTCGACGATACTCCAAATAGAGTATCCAAAGGGTATTGCACAGTGTAAGTACGTATCCACATATACTCACCTCTGTCCAAATTTGAAGTATCGGTGCAACATAATCTATATATTTCTATTATTTGAAGCAAATTCAAAGAAAAACAGTAAAAATATATAGCAACATAACATCTAACAAAATTGGGAGCTTAATTATTGGAGCTCCAAATTTATTTAAAAAATTCTTCCTACTCTTTCTTCTACTTCAAGAATGTTCTTGTTGATAAATTTACGCTTCCGGTAATGTTCTTCTGAGAATAGCATTTTTTTTTAAGTCCATTTGAACTCGCCGGATTCCAAATATTATTAACACCGAACAACATTTGTTCTTGGTCAATCACATTGCCATAGTGTTTGAGGGAAATCAGACCCGGAGTACAACTGTGAATACTAGGCACAATATTCACCACTGGGCTTCTAGGACGAGGACATAACATTGGATAGGTCACATCTTTGATGGAATCACATCTTACATCGAAAAACAATGCATTTCGGCGAGAATCTAAGAAAAAAATGCCATGCTCCCACTGACCACAACCAGCAATCCTCGAATAATCCTCCAATGTACGACCATGAACCCGAAGATCTATGGCATATTCACGCGTCCACTCTTTTCTTTCATAGTTTTTCAGCATCCATATCTCAACCTCCGTACCTGTGATGGCCATAAATGCCATACATCCTCTCAGAATAAATAGGTGCATATTCCGCGTTGATTGAATAGGATGTGGAGTGCAATAGAACTCCTCTTTCTTGAAGTCGAAAGAAATTATATGACTTTCCGTTTTATTTGAGAATTCGTCGACCAGATGAATCAACCAATGCATGTCTCCATTTGCAGATAATAATCTTGTTGATGTACTTAAAAGATAAGGAGGAACTGAGCGTATCTTCCGCCAAGAGCTTGTGCCCAAGACAATAACTTGGGCCTCCATATTGTTTTGGGTATTTACATAAACACGAATAATTTTATGGGTGCTGGTTAAATGATCAAATCCCATACCATACACACCATAGCGTTCTTTGGGATCTTGGACGTCAATCATTGGTAGCGGCAGAACTTCTACCTTAAAAGGATCAAATAAGACAGCGTACGGGCTTTCATACTTTGATAAGTTCTCAACGGTGAAGAAAAACAAGTTGCAGAAAACAAATCGTCGATTGCTCCAAGGATTGACTGTGAGTCCAATCTCTGAGACAACTGCATGTTTGCTCTTTTCCAAAGAGGAGTTGCCATCGTATTCGAATAATTGTACAGCCGCAAAAGAAGTCACGCCGATGTTAGTAATAAGTATAAGTTGAGGTACTTCAGCAACAGCATTGGTAGCAGTAACTAACCATGTGTGAAGTGTAAGGAAAGACTGGTCGTCAACTATGTTCTTCAAGATCTTAGATGAACGTCGAATGCGATAAAGTGACTTTACAGGTAGTCTCGTAAGGATATTGACGAGGATGTCTAAAGGTAAGTCAGTTAAGTTGGTGTGTTTCCCGCGTCGTCTCAGTCTAAACTTCTTCAACCAAGCAATATTGGCTCTCATGATTTGCAACATCTCCAGTCCTACAGAGTCGAATATATTTGTGTTTCTCCTCACTTACACACACACACGTATATGTATAGGGATATTTTGGATTAGCCTTCTCCTTTTGCATGCTAATTGGCACTGGAATTGAGTAACAGGAAAGATATAGTTGAACGAAGAGAAACAAAATCTGTTTTCTAAAAGGAAGGAAAAGATTTGACCAACAAAAAAAGGAAAGAAAAGAATCTAAATAAAATAGTTAAGTTCTTTATTTTCTTTGTGTTGATCTCTTTTGTTCCTCTTTCTTTTTCTTTTTTTCTTTTTTTTTTTTTTTTTTTTGCTTCGGCCTGGCTAAAAACATAAGGGAAGTGATTCCGCATAATCATTTTTTCTCCTTACACATTCTGTTCATTTCTGATCTTCAAATTGAAAAATCAAAGAATGATCAATGCAAATAAATAAATAGAAATGTGCATGAGCAGAATTAAGTGCTACGAAGTTTACCAACTATCCATAGTTTAGAAAAACAATATAATGTCTTTTAAATTCGAGAGTTGTTATTAGTATTCTGTCATCCACTTTGACTTTCGTTCTTTACTTTTTACGTTAGAGAAGAGCGTAAGATGACAATTGGATCATTAACCAAGTCAAATCCATTTCATGATTCATGCAATGATCTTAAATCTGGTGTCTGGCTCAATATATGTCTTAATGTGATTGGCATGCATTTAATCATCGTTTTCTAAATTTGTTTGTTTGGAACTGGGAACTAGTTAGCCACTGTTGGTGATACAATTCCCTCTGCGAGTGTTGTGAACATTTGTCAGTTTCAAAGTGTCTTTCGATACCTTAAGGAAGGCATCAGGCTCATTAAATAGATGATTATGATTTTAGGAGTGCCACTGTTGACTAATACCAATAAAAATGTTGAGTTACATTGCTATTTGAATGAAAAGTTGCACCACAAGTAAAACTAAGCTTCTAATCAATGGAATGTGTCATGGGTGGGTTATAATCCATGTTAGATCCTTTTCTATGGATTGTTTGTAAAAGCAACTTAAATATTTTTTTTATGTATGCCAAATAATAACCCCAAACTGACCAACTCTTGGATTGACTCAGTTTGTAGTTTTTATGCAAGTTTGATCACAAAAATGCATTAAAAGTTGTATGAAAGTGAAACAACATAATGGAAATGATGTTAAATACTCAGTAAATATCCAACTACAGAATAATAACTTGAAAGAAATATAAATTATAAGGGATCGGGCAAACTTCCTTTGCAGTTGAGCACGTTGTTGATAGCTAAATACAAACTGCAGAAGTGCTTTAAATGAACTTTTCTTAATGTAGCAGAGCTAAAACATAAATACAAGTACAAAGATGCTTAATTAAAAGGATAAATACAAGTACAAAGATGCTTAATTAGAAGGGGATTGGAAAGAAAGTAGGCTGCAAAGCTTTAAAAGTTTTTTTAGTTGTAAGAGTTGAGTGTAACTTTTCTTATGTCTTACTGTTGCCTTGTATAAAACTAACATTCCTTCTAGTTTAAGCCTCTCCATCTCAAATAATTATCTCTTCTCCCACTTGTTGTTGTCATATTAGACAAGGGATAAGAATTTGGACAAGGATTGTCTGCCCTCCCACTTCCCGTGGCCCTCCGGTGCCTTCTTATTTGTATGGTCACGGTTAAACCACTTCAACATTTTATATTACTATTCATTTTTGTCTTATTATCTCTATAAAAAAATAATATAAAATATTAATGTGGCTTAACAATGACCACACAAAACAGGAGAGCACGAAAAATGGAAGGGCAGACAATCCTTGTCCTAAGAATTTACATCTCAACTTGAGCTTTTTACTTCAATAAAACTACCAAAATGCCATGACAGAGTACTTTTTCTCTGTAAAAACCAACTAGGTTAACTAAATTATAGAGCGTGATTACCGCTCGCAATGGAACCAGGATCCTCTTCAGAGCAGTTCCTAGGGATCCTAGGGATCCCGCAATCTTGTCTGTTCATTTTATATCGTGCGGTCAGTTTTCGTTAGGTACTATTCATATTTGAATTTTAAAATTTAAAATTTAAATAATTTCTGACCGCACGATATACGATGAACGGACATGATTGCGGGATCCTTAGAATCCCTAGGATTCCTAGGATCCCTAGAGAACTGCTCAGGATCCTAGTTCCTCGCAATGCAACGTGGAAAGCACTTTTGAAACCTCTTAGACCTGTTCACTGTGCATTTCTATTAAAAATAAATACCCACATAGAATTTGAGCGAAATAAAGGCAGTTGGGCTTTTTGGACATGCCGAACTTTATTTTAAGTTCAAACAGCCATGACGAATATTAAGAGTGTTTTCACATTTTCATTTTCTCCTTTTTAGTTTTCCTTCTTTGACTCTCATTTGATTTATTTAATTTTGTCCAAGAGATGGCAATGCATGCGGAAAAAAGAGGAGTTCAAAAATCGCTTCTTAAAAGCAATTCAATGCCAAGATTTGGACTGTAGGAAGAGAGTTTTCACACAGCTGATTTTTGAAGATAGTAGGGATCAATAAAAATTAGAGAACTTTAACGAAAAGTTCTCGGTACTGTTTATTTTAACGAAAAACCATATTTTTACATTACAAAGTCAATCTTGATAGTATTCACTTTATCCTTTATTTTGTCCTTATAGTTAAAACTCAAAGTTTTCAAACTCTTTTTATTAATTTTTCCTAAAAATTAATGCTCAAAATGTTACAGTTGGTCTTCCATGCTTTGTGTTCTTACTTCCACCTAAAAAGTACATAGTACTTGTCTGTGTGCTTGTGGCCGCGCGTATATATATATATATATATTTCTACGTGTCTAAGGGCACCTTTGTGCTCGAAGCCTTGTTGCAGATGTCGACAGGGTGTTTAAGAGCTTATTAGTTGTTTGGCAGATGGCAGTTTTGCTTGGGATTGGAATAATTAGGAAAAGTCGACGTCATAACATTTCTCATTCAGGACAAGGGACTGAAGTGACTGAATCTAAACATACTCTCTCATCTCCTACGCGTAACGGACTAATTAGTCCAGCAGTCCTTCTCAGCACATGCAGATTGATACTGTCTTCCTTTAAAATTGACTCAAACCCTAGACCCGTCTCCACCGGATCATTGTGCGTTGTAGTTTGGCTGCTGCACGTTGCTGTTCGAGTCGGCTGGACCTTTTGGACCATATGAAACATGAGCGGCCGCAAGTTCTAAAGCTAACAAACGTTTTTTTTTTGTTTTTTTAATTACGCGCGACTTACATGTTTATATGTAAATTGATAAAAAGAAAGTCAAATATTTAAAGTAAATGAATAATCTCATATCATGTTAGAAGAAACCTCTCATAAACCAATTAAAACAGTTAAATTCACATAATAAAATCACTCTTTATTGAATTTATATTAAGAATAGAGAAAATAATATTTAATAAACAACTGATTGAATCACATTATTGTTAGTCCATTATCAGGCTAAGCACACTCCCTCTCCCTTAGTGTAGATAATATTATTTGTTAAAAAAAACATTTGACAACTAATTCAATCACATTATTATCCGCATGCAAAAGACATTTTTTTATAACTAGCATTACATGCCTCTTAAGATGTTTTGTACGTGTTTGAAAATAGATAAAATAATATTTAATTAACAACTAATTGAATCATATTATTACTATCCTATTGTGAGATACTAATTATTAAAATAAATAAATAAACAAAAACGGTACAAAAATAATAATTATTAAAAAAACACTATTAAAATGACAAAAATACTCTTGCCACATTTGATGCATTATTTTGGGTTGCTTTTGAAGTTTTTTGTTTGAGGGCATTTTTGTCCACATATACTGCATTATTTTGGGTTGTTTTTGAAGTTTTTTGTTTGAGAGACATTTTTGTCCATTTATTTTTTGTGAATCTTGTGACACCAAAATAAACAGTGTTTGTTAGGCCCTTGACTTTATATATAAAGATTATCATCCTGTCGGTCTGATATTTTCCCTTGGTGGTTCATCTTCTACAGAGTTTTCCATTTGGGTTAGCACATGAAATGTGTATAAATAGTATGTATAACCTTGGGATTTACTCTTCTTGTTACAAAAATAATACGGTAATTAAATGTTATCGCACACATTTTTTTACTTCACACACACATCTTTTAATTTTATATTATTGGATCAAATGAATTGAATAAGAAAATCAAATGAATTATGCATTTGACAATGGGTCATGCTATGAAAACTAAATTTGTAGGCATAATTTGCAAAGTAAATTATGTGTCACAAACTGGAATGAGCACGTTTGTCAACGCTTAAGTCATAACTCAATCATCAACTTCTATGTCATTTAGTTTACAAAATTTTGTCTATAAATTTAGTCTTTCTAGCATTACTCTTTAACAATTAAGTATAATCTTGGAGCTGTTATTTTTTGTGATTTTGTATGATCCAAGATATAGAGAACCTCGTAGTTATGAGATAGTCTCTGTGCATTTATGATATGTGACAATTGAATTTGAATATATGGATGTCCATCCATTGGTATGGAGATCTAGGGTTAGGACATGGTAGGAGTGGCAAATTCGAACACAACTAATGTAGTTTAAATTGTAATAATTTGTACTAAAAAAACTAACAATGTTCAATAATCTAATGAGTTGTTAGCATGAGTACCAGTTATTTTAGTTTTATCGTTTTTTTTTGTTGAATAGTATGAGTTATTTGTGCTACAGGATGATTGTTAGCACTAAAATATTCACTCTTTCATTTCTATTTATTTGATTAGCGAGGAGCGCATGCGACTTAGTGTCAATAGTAGCTCCCAGTTCTATCTTTCGGTGCAACAATGAACATGTTGATTGACATATAAAAGGGTAAATCATAACACAAACCATTGCCAACCCTAGGCTAGGTATTCTCTTTAATTGCTTTTTGTAAAGAGAAAATCGACCTCTGACCTAATTTGATATATTTGATATGACCATATTTC